AGAGTTTTGTATTGGATACACAGCTATTGGTCACAGTAAAGCCTGAAAAACTCCACTAGTTTGCATACACAGTTATAGTCCTCACTTGGTCCTTTTTTCCTATCTTAATTTTGAAACGCATAGGTCATCCAATCTTGTTTTTCTCATTGAAGATATACTGACAAAATATGTTCATTACTGAGCTTCATAGACACTGAATCCATCGCACATGCTTTCATTTCCTTACAGCATTGTTCTCCTAACTGCCACAAATCAGAAGATAATTCACAAGCTCCAAATTGACTACACACAAACAAAAGAAGAGAAGAGAATTATTTTTTATGTCTTTACATTGGCTACCAACCTGTCAGCTGTTCCCATGTCAAGGTGACTAAAGGTGAATCAGCTTTTGCTGTTAGGGCACCTCAACTTAGGAATGACCTGCCTGAAGAGCTCAAATTAGCATCACCTTCACTTCCTAAAGGAATTGTTTGAGACTTAGATATGAGAAGATACTCTCATATCTGCTTGATAAATATAAGGCTACAGAAAGCCAGACTGGACACAGAGTCTGGCCTGAATCTGTCTGCTGGTTATAAAATACAGGTTATGTTAATTGTTTCCCCTGTTTCCAGTCTAAGCTAAGCTAAGGTAGGCTAACTGACTGCTGGCTGTAGCTTCACATATTTAACAGACAGATAAAAGTGATACAAATCTTCTTATCTAACTCTCAGCAAGAGAATAAACATATTTCTAAAATGTCGAACTATTGCTTTATAACTTACTTTTATCAAAGGCTTTTTGTAACTTTATTTAATTTTGGTAATTTGTTTCCATGTGTGTATTTATGTGTGTGTGTGTGTGTGTGTGTGTGTGTGTGTGTGTGTGTGTGTGTGTGTGTGTGTGTGTGTAAATTGGTAAGAATATCATACATATATATGTAATATGTGTATGTTTGTATGTGTGAATTGACAGATCACAGTGATAACGCACAAAGCCTAAAACACACAGGTCCTTAAAACACATAAATACACACACTTGTGCATATTGTAGATAAACACACGTCACCCACAAAGACAAATACTAGACGAATTTCTCGTATTCCCCTGAGGAGAAGAGGAGAAGGGTTTGGATTCTTTCTATTCCTGCTCTGCTGGGTTCATGGCCCTGTGTCTGTTCCTCTAGTCCCTGTCTGTCTGAACATTTCCTTTTGTAGACCATCTTGACAGTATCTGAGTAAACTGCTCTCTCTTTCTCCCCCTGAGGCATCCATGTCCACAGAGACACAGAGAAAGAGACAACATGCGTTTGACCTGCTACAATACTAACAAGCCTCTTTGAAAAGATGCGTACTGCTTCCTTCTTTCAAACTATTTCCTCATTTCTGTATGGTCCTCAAGTGTCCCCCGGCCATCTGGAATTGAAAGCCCCTTATTCGCCCACCTTGCCTGTTGACAAAGCGTTTTTTATTTTTTCTCACCAGTAGTCAGTGTCTGCCCGGGAGTTGCGGAGGCAGCAGTTTGAGTTTTCCTTCTGCTGGCCCCGCTGGGGAGGGCAGGGCTATGACACTATTAGTCACCTCTGACACAGCACAGCCTCTGCCTGTAGACCAGATGGAAGGAAAGTGTAAATGAGAGACCTCAGGGTGGTCGAGTGGACAGGTCACTGACCAGCCTGAAGGTTGTCTGAGACCTAGCATGCTACTTAGAGGCCTGAATCCTTTCTCACTATTATACTTTGATTCTGTTGAAACAGATCAAGTAAAACTATTGATGTCAGAATCACAGCACAGGAATGTCACATCCAATCACTTTTTTTTTTCTTTTGAAATCTCATAAATCAAAGCAAGATTATGATAGATCACTTGTAATGTGTTGAGGAGAGGCAGCGGTCACTGTCAGTGGCAGTGACTTAACATTACTTAGACTGTTGTGATTGAATTTTAGACCTAATCCTGTCTGCTATCAGTGTTCAGGTACCATGTCTGGGTGTCTGCTCAGTGGGAGTGGAGTCTCGAAGAACAGGGTTTTTTTTCCGTGTTTGGAGGAAGAGGAGGGGAGTGGAGTGGGCACTGCAGCTATATCTGCCTGGCTGCCTCTCTCTCTCCTTATCTCTGTGTTTGTACACTGTGTGCCAAGATCCAATCAATAGCCACTCCAGCCGTGGAGAGAGGAGAAGGTCAGCAGCCACACTGGAGGAGCTGGGCTAGGCAAACTGATGGAGACATGGAAAACATAGGAAACACACCACAGGCAAGGCACATTTCTTCTCTCATGTTAATGAGAGATCATTTCTGCCTCCCAAGGACTCGCAACATTTTGGGGTCTTCACCAGATACAGGTTCCTCATGAGAAGTCAATTTTGGCTTGAAACTTTTTGTAATGCAATAAGATATTTTAGTAATACGATATTGGAGGACACATAAAAGTGAGTATTTTACAATGTTGCAAGTCCTTGGAAAGACAGAACTCACAATAATTTTATTTTGATATCATTTAGCATATTGAGAGGGCATTGCATTCCAACCCTCGAGAGTCATGCTGTAACCATGACTCTAGTCATGTTAAATTAAAATAATTATATTATATTTAAATATATATATATAGAATTATATATGAGAATTATATATATATGTGTGTGTGTATATATATATACAATATATACTAGTATACATAATTGAGCTGTCTAACACATTAGGAACAGCACAGTCCTGTCACAGTGAATTTTCAGAGTGATTTTTCACATCATACATTGTCATCAAGTAATGTAACAGCATCCATTGTGACGCAGTGCCGGTTTTAATTACAGTAACTAATTAATGCCAACTTTCTCTGAAAGCGGACTCTGAGAGCTGAGTTCTTGACACTGGAGCTATTCTGTGAATGGCTGTGTGATTGGTTTGTAATGAAGAGAGCCCTCCAACTACTGACTGCCTCTTTCAAAGGCCAACACCTGAATAGCCAATCAGCACTTTATCATGTGGATGAGGTGATACTGCAAAGTGAGACCACATGAGAGATGTGAACACCCACTTTGTATTTCAGTAGTGAAAGGAAAGTCGGGACTCACTTGGTGAGTTTACTGGGATGACTCGAACTGATTCAATCATACTGTTTATGTGGAAGCAAAACATAGCACATTGTCTACAGTGTTAGTGTCTTTCTACAGTACGACATACAAATGAGACAGATGGGGCATGGCAGATGATTAGAATTGTTAGCTATATATTCCCCCAAACATAGTTTGTAGCTTTGTTAGCATATATTCAAGACAGACACAAGGACTTCACCAGTCAAGCAAGCTGGCACCACTCAAGTAAGTAAACTGCTTTTCCCCAAGCTGAGAGGTAAACAGCTCAAGATAACAGAGTTGTTTTTTTCCTTTAGTGGCAGACTGTTCTTGAATGCATTAGCTGTGGCCTAAACATCAAACGGGGAAAAAAACTTTTAAAAAAGGAAAATGCAAAAGAAAAAGACAGGGCAACCTAAGGAATAAAGCTATATCAGCAGGTGGAAATTTAATTTTCACTCCATATTTTTTACTTCCACAACTAAGTTCTGAGGAAGTTTTTCCTTTGTGTTTGTCTTCTGTTTGTTGTTAACTTTATGGGTCCTTGCATTACCTCTTTGCCATTTTGTTTTCCTATTTTTGCATTCGTCATAAATTGTTCTCTGTTGGCCTCAGGAAGTTTAGTATTTTCCTTGGCAGCCGCTAACAGGTATCTAGATGAAAGAGCTAGACTCTTTATCATCTAATAGTATGTTAATCACTGCCTACAGCACCTCGGCGTCAGAACGAAAGAGGAAATTCCTCAAAGATGGAAAGGTCATCATTGTATCATTGCAGGTTTCTTGGCAACAATTCTTGTTTTTATGCTGCGTTGTATTCCGCTTCATTAGTGAGTGACCCTTATTCTCATACACTCAGATGCTTCTTATCAGCATGGCGGTATCTGTTGTCTAGCACAGGAATCTGAGAAAAAGGTTGAGCCTCAACTGTCCTTTGGCCCCAGACAGTTGACTAAGAAGGCTGGTCCAGAGGGAGCAGAAGATAAGCAGGTTTATGATCTATGTCCTTATGTTATAGTGCTGTATGGCCTCTTATCTGCAACCAATGCTTCCCCAAGGATACTAGATGCTTTATTACACATCCCCTCCCCTGCATCTCTGCCATCTCTCTGGCGATCAAGAACGTGGTAATGAGGGAGAGGTGGTGGGGAGTGCATTAGTCATGGTTGTTAATGCGTAGCCTTCTCTGAAGGGGAGGGAGTGTAGATGGGGTGTCTGTGCCGGCGGTTGGTTTAACTTTACAGTTTTGCACTGTGCAGGTCAACTGTGTGTGGACAAAATATGGGAGATAAATAGATTAAAGTACCACAGGTGAAGCTCTTTGAATTTGATGGTGTGATGTTCACGCAGTGCTGACCCCTTGTTGATCCTTATTATAATGTTGGCACAAAAGCACACAGATTTTGGGTTACTCAGACAGAGATAATATTTATTTTGGAAATTGGAACTTATTCACACCTTAATGGCTTGGTGCTCTGTCTCTTTTCTCACCCCTCTTTCTCTCTCTCCTTCTCTCCCTGCTCTCCCTTGTGTTTCAGTGAATAGGAATTAAGCTAATGAAAAGTTCTCTGAAATGGCTGATGTCAATGGGCCTACAGTGCTGGGAACCAGAGTTCAATGGATGGGAGATAGTTGAGGACCTGGTGTATGACATTAAGGTTGTAAAAGAATGTCATTTCAAACTAAGTCTGTGCAGCAGTCAGCAGACACTCTCTTTCTGCCTCTCTTTGTCTTTTCGTGTCTTCCACCTCTTGGGCTTCAAAGGCAAATCTATTCCCATCCTCGCAGCTGCGTTACAGCCGTCTATCTGCCCTCCTCTGCCAATGGATATTTACTCTGCCGGCTTCCTAGATGACGCTCAGGATGGAGCATTGAGCAGGGAGCACTCACTCTGTCTCATTTGGGTGTCAGGACTCAGTTCCCCAGGGGGACACAAAGAGGGAACAAAACAGATAGCATTCAAGGCTTTTAATAAATCAGAATACACCTTTCTGACAGTGTAATTGCTTTCCATTGCCTGGCCCAAATTTACCAGCAAGCAGGAAAAAGAAGGCAAAGAGGGGAGAAAACAAGAGAAAGGAAAAGACGGAGAGGAGAGTAACGCAGAGCAGGCTGTACAGTAGATCATTTGTTTGGGGGAAAAGAATGAAAATTAATGAAAAGAGAGTTGCTCGCCCTCCAAAGGCAGCCAAGCTTGAAATTCACTTTGAGGGAAACTTAATTTGTTGTAAATGGGCAAAAAACATATTACTGCGCAGCGCGTAGAGGAGTGCACTGTGTGTCCGTCTGCTGCGTCTGTGTGTCGGCATGTGTTTGTGGCAGATGAGGACGCTATGCTCTGAATAGCTCAGCTGAGAGGAGGGAAACACAGGAGCCTGTTAATAACTCCAGTAACAGCATTCTCTTTCTACATGACTGCTCTCCAGCACTCCCTTCTAGCACGTCTGAATACAACTCCAGGATGTGGAGGGGAACTTGTCAAAAGTTACTTGTAAAGAATAAAGTTTGGCCTGTTCACTTCAGGTGTGGGGTTATGTTTGTTAGTGTGTGTCAAGACACACGCGTACATGTGAATATGCATGTTTTTGTGCCCCTCAGCTGGCATTAAAGAGCTATATACAAGAATTTTAGTTAGTAAAAAATTACTAAAATTATCAACAGAATATAAAGAAATAACAGTTTTGACGTAATGTCGAAGACATCTATGTATTGTGTTGCATAGATATCTACAGAAGTTAGCGTGCTAACCAGCAAGTTCTAGACCGACCTGTCTCATGATACCACTTTGTACCTCATGAGGCGATAGTGAGTCGCTGTAGCATCCAGTCTGCCCTCAGTCCAACATAGGAGGATGAAGAAGTACAACAAGAAACCAGAGTTAACATTGCCGTTGCTTTCCACTGCTTTATACAGCTCTTGGCGAGTAAAGGGATGAAGTTGTTCTATAACTTGTATAGCACTGAGAGCGTTAATAGTTTGGAGGGACTGTGCTTGGCTGAAGTGTAAAAGTTGGTCTATTGTTAAAAGCAAAGAGAAATGGAAACAAACTTATCAAATAAATCATCTTGTTGCGCTTTTTTCTTCTCCAATGGGTTAATGGTACCCAACTGGAGAATTAGTGCCACCTACTATATATCTCAATGAACCGATTCCTGATATTTGCATAATGGTAGTGGATGGAAATGTGCATTAATTTGCATTTTCTTTTCGATTTACTGGATATTAATTTAAAACTTGCGCTACATTTGGATGGAAACCTGGCTAGAATGAAGCTTTACTTCAGTTAGTTGTGGCAGGGGTATAATAACAGAAGAGGTACTTAAAAGGCTGTAACTGTGGAGGATATTCACTTGGTTTGACTCAAACTGCTGAAGCTTCATATTAGCTTTTGCTGAACTTTTAAATGTATTTTTGCACTGAATAAGGACTGTAGATCACTCATTAAAATTGCTTTAGGAAGGGATTTCATCACAGAAGGAATGGACAGAAAGAACAATTACACTTTCAATGTACATATGGGCATTTAAGTATTGTTTTGAGGCAGACTTTAAAAACTGTTAAAAACCTAGTTTTTAAAGAGACACCTTTAGATTGGGATCCCCAATTAATTAATTTGTAGGAATTTTTTTTTTTTTAAACTGGATTTTTAAAACAATATAGCTTAAACCATAGTTTAAATTAAGTAAAAATTTCAACCTCAAGTTGCCCTTTAAGTATGTGCAGTTGTGCCGTTGTATACAACACAGTCTGTGCACGCAATAATGTGCGGCTGCAAGCTAATTTGTATGTTGCATGTATATTGGTTGGTATTTCTGCAGGGTTAGATTACTTTTGAATCCTAGATACAGAGGATTGATCCAACCCAATATGTTTAGTGATAAGCTGGAGCCGAAAGCCAAGGATGACTGACAGGTCATGGTTAAACGGTATGATTGCAGACTTGCTGCAGTTTTATCCTTGCCTAGAGTTACAGACCTCACCACTCAACAATTGCATGTGATAGGAATTCTCTATGAAGCAGATCAGATGTCACATGATGTCAAATCCTTGACCTGAGCTACTCTGAGCTCTCAGCTTCCGTTTCCCCAGTGTTCCTCTCGAGAGGTTGAGAGGGTATGAACGCTTTATGCTCTTACATGCTAAGTGTGTATCAGAAGTCCTCAGTATCAATGTACAGCACTCACTGATGTCCTCTATGGTGCCTAGAAGAGTAGAGATTTATATGCAGTCTACAGTAATACAGTATATTAGCTACATCGCTTGGTTGGCCCACTTGGGCACGAGATGCTTAATTACACTCTAGGCAGGAAATAGCAGGGAATGTTAATAAACTGAATATTTGTGGGGTGAATCAGATCTTTCATGTGTTATGTGGTATTTCCATTCCTCTGCAGGCCTTTGTTGCTCTTTCCAGTCTATTGGCCTCTCACCCATCCTTGGGCAAGGGCTCTGACTCTTCACCCTACCCCAGGCTCAGCCCCTCTGACTCGGGCCAGCAGCTCGGCACGCCTGGGGGGCCTGGAGACCCCCGATAACAAACGGCTCTAGCCAAGCCACTGGCCTCCCCACGCCTACGCAGGCATTTACCCACCACAAACAAACACCTTGCTCTATTCCAGACAGGTCTTTTTCTTCACCACCCCACTCCCCAGTTGCACAAAATATATTTTCTTTTTTTTCTTTTATTCTATCCTCTTTTTTTACCTGAAGTGAGAAGGAAAAAAATGAAGGAAGTGACGGGTCCCATTTTTCCTCCACTTTTCTTTTCTCTCTCACCTCTCGTTTTCTTGCTCTCCCACTGCTGCACGGCCCCAGACTGTGTTTGTGTGTGTGTGTGTCTGTGAGTGTGTGTTTCTCCCCCATGGTTGAACGTCAGCCTAAGTGTGAGAGAGATGGATGCCAGAGTCCCTTTCTCTCTCCTAAGGCGCCATGTCTCTGCTCTCTCCTCTGCCGGGCTCGTCTGCACCTGCATATTGTGATATAGTGCCTCTGTTCAGCCAGTCGATTGCCTTTAACAGGACTGGGGCACACTGGCCAAATTGAAAGGGATTGCGGCCTGCTTTTCATCAGAGTCACAGCAGAGCAGGATGCAGGGTCCATAGGGCACAAGGGGGCATGGAGGAAGTATGTTGGGTCTCCTTTTCTGTTGCAATTTCTCTCTCACAACTTCTCCCTCTTGTACTCTTTCTCTCCATCTTTTTGTGTCTCATTGTTTGATGCCATCTGATGGCTGTGGAAACATTTTGCAGGAAATGAGTTATTCTGTTTCCCGTCAATCCATTTCTCCATTTCCATGCAGGAGTTCCTATTGATAGCGAGGGAGAAAGAAAATCAACATCAGTCTCAAAGAAAAATGTCTTCATTTTCCATTTGTTTGCCTCATACTTTTCAGACATGTCATATACGTGTGCCTTCTTTTTTCAAGCTTGCCTCTCCAATTCTTTTGTGGAAGACAGAATTTGAAAGGACCCATCTCTCTAATGAAAAAAACCCCCTGTGTGGGCTTTAATGAGTTAGCAACACTTATACATATACTTTCAGCCTGTTATGTCAGTGGAGTGGCAGGCAGACACGCAAATACAGTATGCAGCTAATGAAAGAATACCTGAGAAACTAAAGCTCATTCGAATACAGAAAAACAGGTATTAGAAATAATATGGATAAAGCTGAAATGCTAATCATGTTAAAGGCATTCATCAAATCCCATTAATTCCAGTTCCCTGTGGTATTTAATGAGGCTGAGTGTGTTCTGCAAATAATACTCTTAGCACAATTTCATTCATAAATTAGCACGTCACTCGTCAGTTTAAATACATTTGTACAACTTTCTTTTGGTTGTGATATCCCTTTCTTCTGTAGCTGTATCCTGTTACAACCTACTGCTGTTATGGTCCAATTTCTGTTTCATCTAATCAAATCTGTTTCATCTAATGTTATCTAATTAAATCATTGTCTAAGTTCTTCACATCTTTCTGCTTCAAAAGTTTGCAGTGGCAGGAATCATGCTTTTGTCAGACTAGTCAAAATAATCTATTATTTCTGTCTGGTCATTTGAAATTTACTTCAGCCCAATTGTCCATCATGAAAATGAGTGCATTCACCCCACTGCTTAGGATAATAGATCGACAATATCCAGACAGATTACTGGCATTACACAGGCCAGTGCCTGCATGCTAATTTCCAAAGGAAGGACTCCAGTGACTGATGGCTTCAAATAGCAGTGGATGTGTGCATGAGTGATGGAGACGAGACCTCTTACCTCCTTCCTCCCTCCCTCCTTTTTCTTCTTCCTTACTTGGTTGCTGTGGAAACGGGTGGGTAGATTTGAGGTCCCTGTCACCTATTGTTTCCCTGAAGTTGTTAAACTTTAGTGCCCACGTGACAGTCTCACAGAGACGTGTGAGAGCATGGAAAGAGAAAGCATGTGTGCATGCAAGCACACCCGTGTTCACAGAAACACGTGTGTATATCAAGACATACACTCTTACAGACACACACACATACACTGCCGGTGCCTTGAGAGAAATCTGCGATCTATTTAGTGTCTTGACCTCAATGTCCAATGCTTTTTCTGTATTGACTTAAGGAATGGTGAAGGGAAAAGAAGGACCAGGGATGAGAGAGGACAATAGAGAGGGCACTTGAAAAGGCAGTAACCTTTTTCTGCTTGGTGTGTGTCCGATAGAGACTCCCCCTAGTATGCCATTGTGGAGCTGTCAAACTGCCTCCGTATGAATTCAGAGTGATGCTCGAGAGGTACATAACGCCTTGTCTAGGGCTCCTTCAGTGTCCATCTTCATTCATGGATCAATAGTTGTCTTTATTTTGGATTCATTCTCCTTCCTCTTTCTTCTTCTTCTTCTCTCTCTCCTTCCCCCCCATTCGTCTTTGACAGGGCAGCCCTAAATGTCTGCTTTAACTAGCTGCTCACAGCCCTCCTCAAAACACATTTACATACACATCAATCACACTGTCAAAGGTAAAGGCATGACGCCGTGTAAAAACCAGAATTGGATTATGGCCTTGTCTCATCCCTGACACTGACTGCTTGGCTGGCTGGCTGACTAGACTGTTGATGCACAAGTTAAATAGCCTGAATTGTTATTGGCTGGTGTTTTTCTCATAGTGCTTAGTGTTTACTGCATGCATGTTTCATTGTGCCAAACAAGGTCTGCGATACCCAAAGAAATGTCTTTTTCTCTCTTACAGTGAACCACCTCCATGTGTCTAACTTAATATATCACTATAATATATAACTTCATATCCTTCATTCTAGTACTGTTATTTTGATTGTACAGTGAGTATTTCTCAATGGAACATAATTCATTCAGAGACACTTACATGAAGGAACTGAGCATTTAAACAAGTGATTATACAATAAGGAACACAGACTCTGCCACCTGAGATTCACCCTGACCCTAACAAACATATACTGTACATGAGCTCAGATTTTATTACTAAATACCAATACTTAAAACTTAGGACACAGGCAGATGGTTAAGGGAGCTGTGACAGCAAATCGCATTGGCATGAATGTATCAGGAGAGTAATAGAAGTGTAAAATCATAATGACCACCTGCATGAATATGATTGGACGTTACCAGTCAGCTGGTGGCAGTTGATGAAGCACGAATGAAGCAGCTGATCAGTTAATGCAAGTGCGACTTCAGTGCTCTGCCAGATCTAAAGCTATGCTCCATCGCCAGCTGATGACAATATGACAATGCATAAGAGCATTTTCTGATCTGGTGCCACCAATATACACCGATCAGCCATAACATTATGACCACTGACAGTGGTGGGATATATTACGTCACAAGTGAACAATTTGTCCTCAGAGTTGATGTGTTAGAAGCAGGAAAAATGGGCAGTGCAAGGATTTGAGCAACTTTGACAAGGGCCAAATTTCAATGGCTAGATGACTGGGTCAGAGCATCTCCAAAACTGCAGCTCTTGTGGGGTGTTCCTGGTCTGCAGAGGTCAGTACCTATCAAAAGTGGTCCAATGAAGGAAAGATGTGAACTGGAGATCTAAATCTAAAGGCTCACTGATGCATGTGTGAAGTGAAGGCTGGCCCGTGTGGTCCGATCCAACAAACAAGCTACTGTAGAATACTTATTGTTTAAGGTTAGGGAAACATTGTGGTTTGGGTTAAATAAAGTTCTTGGTTAAGTTAGGGAATGATTTTGGTAATGGTGAAAATAAAGGTTTATTGTTAAAAGGTGATGGGAGACAAACACTGGTCTCCAATATCAAAGTCACACACTTTGTTGATCCAACCATCCACCCCAACCCCATCCTTAAAAGCCTTTGCAGCACTATTAACATGTTTTTCTGAGACCACAGTCAAAATTGGCACATCCAATAGACGGAGGACCTTACTTTCTGTTTTAGGCATTTAAGCAAACAACCAGTGCTGCTGTTTCTCGTGAGGACAGTCTCGATCACACCTACCAATCACTACAATACACTCCTCTACATTGGTTAATGATTTAAAGGACTAATTAACTGGCAGCATGTGGCCCACTGAAAATCTTCATAAAAAAATTTATAGGTCCTCTGAAGTCAGGTCCAAACGATAAAGCCTGAGGTTGAGGGTGAGGGAAATAAGGAGAGGGAGGAATGGGTTGATGCAGGAAACCCTCTGTGGCCAGGCCTCGGAGAGAGCAGTGTGTATCACCAGGCCCATCATAACGGCTCATTTCAGTGTTTTATCCTTGCAAAGGCGCTCACTCCTCCACACAGAGTTCATACCACCCAAGGGTGGCGTTTCCGTAGCTTATATTTGCAAACACAGTATGGTGAGTAAGAAGAAGCTTAACCCCTGAGGTATTGCCATCTGCTGGTGTGTAGCCCCCTTATTCCCTCTTTGAAACGTTGGTAATTAACAAATACTACACCGTACTCTAAATGCTATTTTTGCACTAATGTGTGGGCTGGGTGAAAAACATCACAGGAACTCCAGCCTGTTAATTAGAGTATATTTATGGCAATTAAATCGGCCTTGGAGAGACTAACTGAAAGAATTCTTAATGCCTGACCCAGAGATATGTATCATTCAACACGTGCTACTGTGAATTCCAACACTATCCTCAGATCAAATCATATTTTAAACAACTGTAACTGGTCTCAGGTGGCCCATGGCTCTGCTGTTTTCAGGGAATGTAGTTTGAAAGTCAATCTACAAGTGGATATAGACTTAATACAGTGTCTTAGAAAGTTGGCGGTTTTACACCATTGTGACAGTTAAATGTGATAATCTGCCCTATGTTTTCACTCTGTTCACTGCATTATGCTACTGTCTCACAGCAGGGAGTTTGACCACGAATATTTCACTATCCAATTACCAGGTGAAATTGGCTGTTTAATTTTACAGCCTCAATGAAGGCGCTCTATCAGAATGATGGCCATTCAGTTAGCCCCCTAACACCACCCCAGGCAGCCTTCTCATCTGAGAAAACTTTGTACGTGTGTGTGTGTGTGTGTATATATCTGTCTTTCTAGGTGTGTGTCTGCAAAGTGCACTGAAAAAAGCACTGACGAAATATAAATCAAGCAAGGTGATGATAACTTTGGCGTTGACACTGTGATCCATCGTCTTGCCTCCGCACTGACTGTTTTCATTTTAGCCAGCAGCAGGCTGCGACTGAGAGGCTTTCTACCAAAATATAATTGTTTAGGAGTAATGAGCTGGAAAAAGGACAGAGAAAAGGCGAAAAGGGAGAGAGAGAGAGAGAGAGAAAGAGAGAGCTTGGAGAGTGACTATTAGATGGAGAGAAACAAAATTTAACACACTACAGTTAACATGACTGACAAAATAAGCTGCAATTTGGAAGTCTGTATGTAATTATGGCCTCCCTGCTTCCAGTAGCTCTGACTGTCTGTGCGGTCCCCCTTTACATTTGCAATTAACACACATCTCATATTTGGACTGTGTTCACATGTAATGTCACTGATTTACATATGGTATTAAAATACATCCTTATTGTGCACAACAATAAGGATGATGATAGTTTAGATGTCACTTCCTCTTTCATATGTATGCCCTGTAAAAACAGCATTAAAGAGTAACTAAACACTGCACTGACCTCTATGGGCCAAAAGGTGTAACTCTGCTAGGTGTGGTCTGTTTTAGCTAGAGCTGCAACTAACGATTGTTTCCGTTATCAGTCTGGCGGTTATTTTCTCAAAAAATTGATTCATTTTTTGGTCTTTAGAATGTCACAAATTTGGGAAAATTGTCCAACTCAGAAAATCTGACACCAAAAGAAAGGTTTGGCATTTTTGCTCAGTAGAATAATTTTT